GTGAATACTCAAAGTATGCAGAAGATTGCCACACCTGAGATTTACTTGGCAGACCTCAGAGATACACTCTGTCCATGGATCTTATAGGTCCAAGCAATAAGGATATATTCTCACAATGCATGCATATGCTAAACCAGGTTAGTGTTTGCATAAAACATGCAATATCTTGGCAGATGCTATAACTGTATGTGCAGATAACAATGCAAGTACAAAAATTTGATTGCTTATGAAAGTTTCCATTTGCACATATTGCACCTGTATGTTTCTGAATACATCAGATACCTACATTTCATTTTTTCCACAGTATTTTAAAATATAATCAGTATTCTCATCATATTCTCTACATGTCCATATAATTATTATTAGAACATCGAAGTGGCATTACTTAATTTCACAGAGTAGCAAAAAGGGGGACCACTTTACTTGCATTCATTTGTGCGTATTTCCCAGAAGTATTTAAATGTGGTTTTTTGGATGTTTAGCCGTTTCAGTTGGTTTTGATTGTCTCAATAGAATTGAGATACTAGAGAAGTGAACATGCTCCCTAGAAAGTCCCTCTTTTGTTCTATTTAATGATGTAAACCATCAGTGACAGTTGTTATATGGTACAATGATTTTTCCTTAGCAGGTGGGAAACGGCAGAGCCAGTGAAAAGAGACCACCAGGGAGCGTAAAATAATGTAATGCAAATAAGTGGAACACCTCTCTTAAGCAAAATTAATCAATCTTATTTTCAAGAACAAAAGACCTGGACTGCTTCTTCAGCTTTCTGAAGTTACTCATAGTTTGGGCAAGAAAAGCAGGGAAACTGAAGGAAACAACAACGCAAACAAAGCAGATAGTGAAAGTAGTGGCACAAAAGGAATATGTTATCATGCTGAGAAGTTGTGAGTAGCAGGAAAAAATTAAGATATATCTGTTAGAACTGTTCTGTTGATGAAACTTATTGTATCTGGCTCTATGAATCCTGAAATTGCTAAGTCTGGACATTACAGATCTAGTTTCCCTCAAAATTATCCAATTACATTAATCTGTGGATGACCTACCAAAAGTCATTAATATGTATATAGCTCCTTAAACTGATTTGTAATCTACAGCTTTACTCACAAACAGCACCACACAAACACAGGTACATCACAAATAAGCACCAATACCCACACAATGCACCCTCTTTGCTTTAACAGCATAGTCAGAAATACTATTATGTTACTTAAATTCCTATTGCCTACACTTTAAACACAGTCAAGGAACTAATGTGCAAACGTGATTTAGTAACTTGTGTTTTACACTTTGAAAGAGGCTTCGCAAGTTTCTAGTAACACAGTCTTTTGCCACAGTACCAAGGCAGAATCTGTTCAGGAATACACTTTTTTGGTCTATGAGGGCCCAATTCAGGAGGAGGAGACAGTTTTTTTTAAAACATCTAGCAAAGGTTGCATGATTGATTTCTTGAAGCACTAAGGAGGGAACACAAAGGACCTTACTTTTTTATTACACTGTAAAGTGCTGACGGCTCTGCAGAGGTTGCTTTCCTGTCACTGTCTTAAAAGCAACCAAAAAAGGTTGTGACAGCATGTGTGTAACAGTATATATAGTACAAAGGATAAAAATCAGATAGACAATTAAGAGGAGGAAAAAGATGAAAAAACCCTGCTCATTTAACAACTGGCATTTTCAGAAGAGCCCTGGGGGGGGTATATTTACACTGTTCAGAAGCTGTGACTACAGCATGTCCAGTAGCCACCTCAACCCAGCCAGGTCAGGTAAGCTCTAAGAATGAGCAAAAAACTTCCATGTCTGGTGAAACAGATGAATAATTATGTTCCAAGATTTTACAAGATGTATCCCATGAGACTGGATACTTATGTTACTGTTACTGATCTTAAGTATCCAGTAAACAAAGTGTGCTGAACTCAGTGCCTAGCTCATATAACTTGTGGAGAGATGTTTGGACCCAGACTTTGAAAACTGGGTGGTTGTGTGGGTTTTCTTATTGTTGAATGGATGGACTCTTAAATAACTATTTTCTTTCTCACAGGTTTAATATCAAATGAAGCCAAACACATGGCTTCATGTATGGAGAAGGGCTGCAGGGACAGGAAATTTATTTTGGGGGTGCTGCTGAACACAACACAGAGTCTCTTCTGAATGTAAATCAGAATGAATTTCTACAAAGAGACACAGAGGGAAAACCACTAGAAAACTGACACTGAGTTCTTAATGTATATTTCCTGCCATTTATGAAGAATTACATTAAAAGATAAATGCAAACATGACCGTTGCAAGTTAAGCACAATAAAACAGTGATTTTTACCTACTGCTATTATGGTAAATTTTAACATATAGGTGGTATATGTTACATCAGCACTCATTAGTTGGTCAGGATCTAAGTTACTAATCTATTGTGCTCTAAATTTATTGAGGTTTGGTCAAAGATTTTCTTCTTTAAGCATTTCCTGAGAAAAAACTAACTGGAAATAATTAAATGTTGTGGCCCACTGATAATTAAAAAGTAGGCACTGGGGACAAAATCAAAAGGTCATAAATAATATTCTGATATGCGTAGATTCTGTTAAGGCTCAAGTTTGGAGTTGTTTGGAGTTTTTTGATGGTCTAGTTTTCAAAACACTAGGAGTTTTGTTTTATGTTTGAATCTCTAAGTAAAAGGATTGGCAATAAATGTAGGATTGCAACAGCTTCAGTCTAGATCATGGCAGAACCTATTTGTCTTACAGTAAGACAGAATACACTTACAGTAGCTATCTGAATGGTACGGCACAAATGTTGTTACTTACATGTTTTAGCTGAGTGACATTACCCTACAATAAAAATTGAGACTGAAAAGCTATTGACCACAGGGAAAAAGTGGATAGGCCAAGTTTTACCTTCCTTAAACATTTATTTAAAAAGATTCCAGTTATGAAACCTATGAGCCACCCACATTACAGGAAACAATTAGATAAAAATCCCAATGGACTCAGGATCTTCACTACTGACAACTGACTTTGCTCTGATCTAACAGGAGCACTTCAACATGGCTGGGCAGAGCATGCACACATCTCCTGTGACTTTTTGATTTAGCCTCACATGTATATGTCCCTGTGAAATACAGCCTCCTACATGTACACATCTCACTGCTCAGAGTAACAAAGTGACATTAATGGCTCACTTAAAAGACCTTTTATCCCACAAATAATAAACACATAATAACAACTGTATATTGAATTTTAACTTTTTCATTCACCAAAAAAATCCCTACATTCGTGACAAACTGATACAGAACTGCATTGCTTTATTCATCAATGAAACATGGTTACTTCTATGATTAAGTAATTAATTAGAGCTGCACAGTGCAAGACAAAATAGCATAAATCCTAATATGCAGCTCATAATAATGCAAGCCATCTCATTGAAATAACAGTGGCAAGAGTAAGAATGGGATTACTACATTAAAGTGCAGAAGGACTGCAAGACCCGACTCCAATTTATAGCCTGATCAAGGCCCACTAAAATTAAATGGGAACTTTAATCCATTAGGTATTAAAAATAAAGAAATTGTAATCTCCTTTAGCTGAGAATGCAGGAAGAGAGACTGCATTGTTTGGCAGTGTATGTAGGTCAGCTTTTTCACCCTAACTTCAATTTTTGACATATTGGTCTTCCCAATCCCAGTTTAAAGGTAATCGCCTTACATTATTCTCATATAAAAAATAAAAATAAATAAATAGTATAGATACTGATTTTATAGTTTTTTTTAGTACAAATCTATGTTAGCTTTTTCTTTAGCTTTCAAGTACCATGTCATATATATAAAATACATATAAACCGGCATATAATTGCAACCTTAAGTGCTAGTGCAACTAGTGTTTAGCAAACCATTTATTTCTATAGCTACAAATCATTTGGGCATATAGATTATTTTGTTAACCAGGAAAATAAGCAATTTTAGTTTTGTTATGAGGTTTTTCTTAAGATCAGTATGCCATCCAAGGTTTGCATTCACTTTGCAGGGTTTGTAGTGAAGAATTAATCAAGGAAAATAGATTTCCCATTCTCTGAAATACGTATGTTATTGTTCAGAAATGCTGCTATGAGTAATTAATTTTTAAAGGAAGCTTTTGTATCACTGAACAATACTTATCTAGTAATGCTATACTGTGAAGAAAGCATCTGCCTGCTGTATCTTTGCTATAGAACTTTTCGATCCAAGTCTTCTCCATGGCTCCACTCATCTTCCCTGTGACAGGGAAAGTACTGACAAGAAGTGACATGGTTACAGTAAATCAGTGAGGAGACCAGCTCCTTACCACAGACTGAGCTTTAAAAGGAAGGGTCAAATTCAGTGCTTTACACACATCAAACCCCACTAGCTGAAATGAACCCATGAAACTGCAGGCTGAATATATAGCTATCTACATAACTGTCATTGTATGCGTATGAATATGAAAGAGCTCCAAGATACAGGTATTTCTAACACATTTTACTAGAACTAGGAGGTGTGGTTTAGGTAAAAAATCCCAGATTTTGCCTTTGTGTAGTGTAGTGACATGTCTACAACACCCTCCCCAATAAGTGCATTGGTGCATGACGACTTGTTTTTGCAGGTCTCTCTTTAAAACAGTGATGGATGCAATGGATGCATCACTGTTTCTTCTTTGTGTGTCCCTGTAATTCTAGCTTGCTTTTTTTTTCCCCTGTGTAACCACCGACTTAAAAGTTTGATGATGCCCCTTTCTCTCTCACTTGGATAATTAGATTTTGCTTCTTATTATAGCTAAATATCTACTACATTAGATTCAATCACTTCCCCCCCTTTTTTTTTATTGACCCATTTTTTTTGACCACACAGTTCCCTCCCAAAGCCCCAGTGTATTTTCGTTTTCACCTGACTCCCACCTATGTTAAGGCTAGCATTAGTGGTACCACTGGCTTGTTTTGTAAATAGCCTCTCTTGACAAATAAGTGAAACCACAGGTGCCCCCTCCCATCACCACCAGGATGTGGCCCTGGAGAGCATCACTCTCTAGACAAATACACTGAAGAGAGGAAACTCGGCTTGGTTGGGTTGCAGCAAGTCAGTCAGGAAACACACAGTTCCCGAGAAACCTTCATACAGACTATATACACTTTCTAACGCCCGGGAACCAGCCTTAAATTCTTCTGTAAATAAGAACTCTGCAAACCTAAGAGGAAAAAAAAAAAAATAAGAGTTTGTTATCATTTGATGTCCTTCTATGTCTACTTGTTGTTTGAAAGCATCATTTTGATAACATTCAATGATTAAAAAAGTAGAACCTTCATTATTAAACCTTATCTGCAAATTTTACACTATCTGATTTCCACATGAAACTGAGGTCCATTAGATCTAGAAGAGACAAACTTTTGCAGTCTGTACATGCATTATGCTTGTTTAAGAGATATAAACTTTTTCTGATTTCTGTAAGACACATTGTTAAACAAATACTTTTTAATAACTTTTATCTGCG